CGGTTTCGCTCATGACATCATTGAGGTGCTCAAGCTCCAGCGCCCCGACAAGGCGGTGATCCTTTGCTGTAAATGTTCCATTTACAATGGGGCAAACACAGGGAGATGCCGCATGGTGACATTCCCCCACATGTGATGGGGAAGCATTGCAGATGGGACATTTCAGAATTGCCTCACTGCCCTGCCAGTTCATCACAGAGGCTGGCAAATTGCCCCACTGCTCTTCATCCATGTGATGAGATCCCTGGAAGTCTAATTCTTGAGGCCAAAAATGCACTATCCATTTCTGTCTAAACTACAAAGCTGTTTTATTAACTGCATTTTGAGAGCAGAAGCTTTCTTGACACAAAATATTTTTTTAAATTCCACAATGACTTAAGCCATACTTGTTTCAAGCATCTCCATGGGGCTGTGCATTCAAAGCTTTCCAAGAGATGATACAAAGGTTAGCAGACAACTCACTGGCAGCTCCGCTCAGTGTTCAGTGACACTCGAACAGCGTAATAGGATTCTAGGCTGCAGGAAAGAAGAGATTGCAAGAAGGATAGTATTCTAATAATCTTGTAAAAATCAGTGGTTTGTCAGTAACTTGTTTTCAGCCTTCTGACTTACAGAAAGATGACAGGCCAAGAAAACGCCACATAAAATACCAAGAATGTCCAGGTATTATTTGAGGAAAGATTTTAAGAATATAAAGATGTGGCAAAATGAGGCAGTTTATTCCTATATTATTTCCACTTAGTAGAATTCATCACCAGTAACTAATAAATCGAGTTAGAGGATCAACTTTTTATTATTTTACAGAAGGATGCTGCAGGGCTTTATCATCTAAATTAATCACATAAGTATATATTTCAGATTTATATTTCTTTTACATTATAAGTATCTTCTCTATCCAGTCATTATATATGATAGCAATGAGCTAGGGCTTGAAGCAGTTATGACTGTGGTGATGGTGATGATGATGATGATGATGATAATGATGATGATGATGATGATTTTGATTGTAAGATTAACATAGAACTACCTATGGGCATGATGCTTTACAAAGAACAATAGCAAATCTTTCTTAAGGAGTGTTCATTATAAAGTAGTTCCCCAAAAGGCTGAAGTCCCAGGTGTAATGGGTATTACAGATGCAGATTCTGATCTTCAAGATAAGATTTCTGCCTCAACTGCAAGCCCTCTGCCTTGATCAAAAGAGCTAAGAAAAAGCTCTTGCAAGTAACCTAACACCCCAAAACTCTGGGAAAATATATGTCATCTTCTGAGAGCTTTCAGTGACAGTTCAAAGAAGAACTTTCATTGAAAGAGTTGTGAGAAATCCATGAATACTAGCTACCATCAGAAATATATTTGAAACAACCAGCTTAATGGTAGACCACACAATTCCTACCCCTGTGCTAGATGGAGACTGCAAAACGTTATATCGCCAGAGTGAATGGAGAAGGCAAACCCTATATTATGTCTTCTCCTGCTCCTTAAGTTCCCATTACTGAAATCTAGTGGACCAGGTTGTTTTGTCTCACTGGGTCACAAACCATATGGTTCTGCTCAATGCCTGCAAGCCTTGTATCATGTGGAACAGAGAGTTACTAGAGATTATCATTTCCATAAGGTTTCAGGACTACATCTAGTGATGATAAAAGTAGAAGTGAATACAGTAGACTCTCAATTAACTGGAACTCTCAAATAACCAACAAAAATGAAGAAACCGTACTGCATTCATAATGCATTTTTACAATATAGTAAAATTGTGTTACATTAACTTAAATTTGTCTTTTTTGCTTTTGCTTAATTACTGTATTTTAACATTAATATCAAGCTATATAGATGTTTCTATTATGACAAAACTTTTTGAAAATACTCAGGCTGAGATCCAGTTAGTTGGTGGGTGAAGCATAAATTCTCCCAATATGTTTATTCCTGTTGTCTGGGTGGAGGAATTGCACATTCTGCAGCACTGGTTGCCAGGGGTGGAGGGGTGCCCCTGGAAGCAGCTCCTTTCTCTTAGCTACTGATTGGCTGTTTAATATATCTGAAAAGAAAAATCAGTTTGCTCTTGTGTACCTAGAATTGAGATTTTGTGGAATCATAACTGCTCTCAGAAGAGTATGCATAAGTTTGCAGCCTTAATATATTAGTCCTTTCCTACTCCTCTTTCCCCTTCCATTTGAGAGTCCTTTTAGACTTAACTTTATTATTATTATTATTATTATTATTTATTAAACTTTATTTGTACCCCGCTAGCATCTCCCGAAGGACTCGATGCGGCTTACAAAGGCCAAGGCCTCAATACACAACACAACAATACTTAAAGCAAATTAAAACAATTAAAGCAGTATTAAAACAACAAAACCACAAGCAATAAACAATACATCAAACAGGATAAAGCTAGGCCGGGCCAGAGTAAAGGGTACAGGATTAAAAAGTGCTGATGTGACAGGTGATATGTAAGGATTATAGGGCAAGTGCAGTGTGCAGTGTGCGGCAATCTTAATTCTAATAAAGTGCTTCTGGGACTTGGTATTGGAGATTTCCTAATTGGGAAAGGCACATCGGAACAGCCAGGTTTTCAAATTCTTTCTGAAGACTGCCAATGTAGGGGCCTGTCTAAGATCTTTGGGGAGAGCGTTCCAGAGACAGGGGCCACCACGGAAAAGGCCCTGTCTCGTGTCCCCACCAAACGTGCTTGCGACGTAGGCGGGATCATGAGCAGGGCCTCTCCAGATGAGCGTAGTGAACGCGTGGGTTCGTAGACGGAGATGCAGTCACACAGGTAGCCTGGTCCCAAACCGTTCAGGGCTTTGTAGGTAAGCACCTGCACCTTAAATTGGGTTCGGAAGATAAACGGCAGCCAGTGGAGCTCCTTGAACAGGAGGGTTGACCTCTCTCTGTAGGGAGCACCAGTTAACATCCTGGCCGCTGCTCGTTGGACAAGTTGGAATTTCCGAGCCGTTTTCAAGGGCAGCCCCACGTAGAGCGCATTACAGTAATCCAACCTAGAGGTGACCAAGGCATGGACCACCCCGGCCAGATCTGCACTGGTGTTCCCATTTTATCACTTTACATCTCTTGCTGTTTTTCAGGTGTTCCATTGTGTCCATTTTGAGTGTCCAGCTCAAACTGCTGCCCACAAAGAAGACTCTAGTGAAGAAGATGTGGGCACAAGCGGACAGCAGCTATCATCCCACCCTCTTCGAGCATCAAGCGCCAGCTCTGGGCACTCTCTTCCAGGATCCACTTCACACCCGTAACCTCATAAACCATGCAAGATAATGGACAAGAACTTTTGCAACCCTTGTGCCATGATAAAATTGTTCACCATCTTCATACGTAGGCAACTCTTCCTTCTCAGTATGGATAATGGGGACCATACCTGGCAACATGAAATGTTCATATGGAAAAGGTTGTCCCAAGACATAACAGAGCTGCTTCTTATTTTCCATTTTAGTAAAGTCAGGATGTTCTGCCGGGGAAGAAAGTAGGATTTTGACTTTCGTCAAGTCTTCTGTTTACACCCCTACCTCTTTAACTGAACCAAATCAGGTAAAGTTGAAGGAAAACGAAAAGCTAAGCCAAATTGTAATATGAATATGCCACTTGAACAGTACAGAAGAGTAATAATGACATGTGCCTGCAAAATACACCTGCTAGGAAAAGTTCTTCTCTGAGAATGTTTATAAAAAATAAGTCTAACGAAATTAAATTTTAATTTATTTTAAGTCCATTTTTACTTGTAAATTGCAAGCCATTTCAAAACCTATATTTATATTTATATTTCCTTTGGCTGCTTTTTTCCTCCGTTATTATTTTTTAGATTTGGTTTGGTATATCAGGTGAATCCGCTTGACGGAGCTGCTTTAAAAAGCAGACATGTGATAAGCTTACTGCCTTACCTTTTTCAATGAGGAAAACTCCTTCAGAGGGCAGGGCATAAAATAATGCAGTTTAAGAATGTTGTATTGAAATTCTGAGTATTTAACATGATTAACAAGATCATCACTTTTTATTCCTCTATAAAACTAGTTGTCAGATTCTTAAGTAGAGAAACAAACATTGATCTTATTAGAAATCATTAAAATGTACATTAGTTTCTATAACAATTGTCAATATAGATGTCTAAACTTTTTTATTGGAAAGCTGATTGGCTGACCAACATTTCAGCTGTGTTTGGTATGGATGGGAGTACAGTGCTGGCAATGTATAATAAAGTATTTGTTTAAAAATAGATTATAGTATTCCATTAGGGATTTAAAATAAACACTTCTAAGAAGCTTTTCACATAATCTCCGTAAATACAGATTTGAGTTTTATAGTTAGATTTGGTTTGTGTTTTAAGAAATTTCCATCCTAGCAGTAGCTATCCTTGGTAACTCAATCAGATTATGGATTTGACTATATTCTGAATGTGTGCACAGGCAGCATTCCCCACATCAACTTGTTTTGCCTGCTTCTGCGATTGCCAGAATAAAGTAGTCTGCATATTTATACATAGATACTGATGCCATTCTTCCATCTAATTAGGAAACAGGAATATGTATCATGGAATATGTGATTTTGGAGAAAATGATTGTCAACTCGTGGTTATTGTGTTTTCTTTCTTTTTTTAATTGTGTAAAATAACTTGGTGCCAATTGTTTGTTTCAACTATGCTGTCCTATAAATAACTGGTTAAAACTGTTGCACTGATTGAACTTAAATTCTTGGGTTCTACTGAATGCTATTTAGAATATAAAGTGGGAAAATAGAGTATATTATGTAAGCAAAAGCCCCGAGTCTACTTCCAATACAGGAGGTCCTGGGGGCCCTTCCACACAGGCCTATACCCCAGAATATAAAGGCAGAAAATCCCACATTATCTGAATGTGGACTTAGATATAACCCAGTTTGAAGCAGATATTGTGGGATTTTCTGCCTTGATATTCTGTTACAATATCTGACTTACAAACAACTCATAGTTAAGAAGTTGAGAGGAAATCTGCCCCTAGGAAGGGAAATTCACTCCTGTGAGTTATCACGGGGAAAAAGGTGTCTCCACTGAAGCTTGATCAGCATTCCTTGTTTCCATGAAAACACAAAATTTTCAAAATCCAAATGTCACAGGGAAAGAAAGTGAGGTGACATCTTCTGAACAGAGGCACCGGGAGCGAAACAAACATTCCATGAGTGTTAAACCCTTCCCTATGTTATCCAAAACTTTTTTTTTAAAAAAAAGTCTGGAATTATACTAAAAATGTGCCTGTTCCAACTTACATAGAGATTCAATTTAAGAATAAATCTACAGAACTATCTTGTTTGTAACCCAGGGATTACCTGTATGCTGCAACCTAACTGCTTATTATCTTCAGTCTACTTCATGTTAGTCATATTTTACCGCCATCTGCAAAAACAACTGCAGTACAAGGTAACTGAACAAACCTGCTTTTCAGAGAAAAATGAAGAAACCATCAGTTTGAGCTATCTCAAGTAAATGATGCAAAAACAAGGCCCAGAGGGAAACTACTATTCTCAGAAAGGTTTCCCAAATAAGGATTTGTGAGTTTGTTCTGCCTGAAAGACCTGAAGAGTTGAAACTACTTAGAACCACCAGTTTTTCCTTCTTCTCCCACAGATTTCCAAAATCCTACTTCTGATACAGTCGTCTCATAAGAAAACTTGCTGGGAGTGAAGTGTTTTGTTGTCATTTATCTTAGTGGAACTTCTTGGTATTGTGTCTAGGAAATATGAACTACCACAACTTTCTCCTAAACTTGAAGGACAATCTGGTCAGTGATTTCAAAAGACATCCACCCAACCAATTCTTGTATATCTTCTGTGAAGGTAATTGTAATTGCAGAGTAGTTGCACATCATCTTCAACTTTGTGCGTGCCTTTTTCCGAAATCAGTTTCCAATAGACAGGTTGCATGCAAGTAGTCTCCTCTTTCATAATGATTTACTTCTCAGAACCTTTTATGAAAGGTATTGGTGTCAACATTTCAAACATTTGAGACTCAACTCCACTACTTCTCGTACTATACCTTTAATCTTCATGACATATTTCAAGAATATGGTAACAGGTAGAGAAGTTTTACAGTTAACATGACTCACCCTATCATTGTGAATACTTAGATGTTCCTACAAGATCCATTAATTTCCACCTGGAGTACATTGCCCTAAGCTTTCTCTTTGTTTAATGATGTGATAAGAAGAACAGAATCTGATCACAGACAGCAAATGGGTATATTTCCCTACTCAGTGCATATAAACCTCACTGAAATGAATGTGGGATTGCTCAGCTTTCTAATTATGTGTATTATCCCTCATTGTGCATAGGTAATAGTATATGTATTTTCAGTTTTGAATTTCACTGATATATGTCCTTGTAACTTGAAATTAGTAGCTATTTGTATCAGCCTGCAAAAATGTAAAGTATATTGCATATTTATCATTGTAAAGGTTTTTTCCAGCCTTCAGTTCATAATTCAGTGAATTCTTCTAGAGCTCTTTTTAAAAAAATACACCCCTACTTTAAAAAAAAAAACAGCCCAGTAATTAGATGTGTAAAATTTTCACAGTAGAAGCTCCCAGTAGAAGCTTAAGAAAGAATTTAAGAAGGGTTATGTGTCATTTTTAAATAAACAGTTTGAAATTAAATTTTGTCCACTCCTGGTTACATGTGGTTTCCTTCCTATCTTATTTTATCCCATTGATCAGCTGACCAGATAGCCATAGAACCAGAAACAATTCCCTATATATATCACATTGTGGAAACAGTCAAATATGAACATAACTATTATAAAATAGTTATCATAATGTTAGCATAATGAAGATGTTTGGCAGTGATGAAGGTTATATCATTACTAAATTCCTCTTCCTGCAGAAGGCTGATCTCAATAAGTCTGCAAAATACATTTAGTATTTCCTCCTAAATTTTTTTTAAAAGCTTTACTTTGCCCCAACAAAATGACCAAGTAGCATATACAATTCAGAAACAATTGAAATAAGAAACTAGCTGTTCAGTACTTCCTAAGGTAAAAGTGTTTTTCACTGTTTAGTATTATTTGTATATTGCGGTGAAAGCAGGGAAGCAAAGAGTACACATTTTGGCTACAAATTTTGTTCAGCCCACACACATAGCAGCTCCAAAGACATCTGTGTTTATGTGCAATCATTCCGTGCAAACTTAGAAATTCAGTGAGAAATGTGTGATTGAAAGATGTGGTTTGGAGTGGTGTAAACTCATAGAATTATAGAGTTGGAAGAGGCCACAAGTGCCTTCCAGTACAACTCCATTCTGCCAAAGAAGAATACAATCAAAGCACTTCTGACAGATGACCATCCAATTTCTGCTTAAAAACATCCAGAGATGGTTTTTTCTTATATCAGTTGAGCAGCTGGGTATATGTTATGGATATGAAGACACCTGTTCCCCCACCCTCCGTCCGGGCACAGATATCTGCCCATTTATTTATTTATTTATTTATTTATTTATTTATTTATTATTTTGTACATTTGTACCCCGTCCTTCTCACCCCTAGGGGTGGGTCGGGGGGGGACTCAGGGTGGCTTTACAACAAGCACTCATTCGAGTGTTAATCACAGTCATAGACACATTTTAAACAGATCATTAAAATACATTACATTAAAAACATTTGATTAAAATCACGCCAGTTTAAAAATCATTGTCTGGACCAGGCCATTGCCATACATATCACACAGAGTCTTATCCCAATTGCTGCTGCTACTGTTCAAATGCTCGATCCCACAACCAGGTCTTTAGTTTCTTTCTAAAAGACAGGAGGGAGGAGGCCAGTCTGATGTCACTGGGGAGTTCCACAACCGAGGGAACACCACAGAGAAGGCCCTGTCTCTCGTCCCCATCAGTGGTGTTTGCGATGGTGGTGGAATAGAGAGCAGGGCCTTTCCACCTAATCTTAAACTTTGTGATGGTTCGTAATGGAAAATAGGTTCAGATAATAGGAGATACGTAATCATGTATAATTACTATATGTATAAAGAAACATAATTGAATACTCAAGATTATCCATGCCATCATATTTTCATTTTCTGTGTAGGACTGTGAAAGGTGGACAGTGAAGAAAGCTGATAGGAAGAGAACTCATTTGAAAGGTGCTGGAAGAGAATTCTGTCATGGACTTGCCAGAAAGACAAATCAAGCCATAAGTCTCCTTAAAAACCCTAACTTGGACTGTTGTGCTTTGACTATGTCATGAGATAACATGACTAATTTGAGAGATTAATAATGCTTGATTTAGTTGAAGGCAGTTTTATGAAAGAGGAAGATGATATAATAGGTGGATAGACTCAGTCAAGTCCTAACCCTGAATGCGCAGAACCCGAGAAGGGTTGTTGATTATAAGGTGACTTGGAAGTCGCTCATTCCTAGTGTCACAATAAGTCAAAGCTGACTTGACAGCAATTAACAAAGAATCTGTTACCCTACAGTTGATCCCACATTGTTATTCTATTTAATAATCATGAATTGATCCAAGTGCCTTAAATTTCACACAAAGCATGTTCAGCAATCATGCAAATTATACATTTTTAAATGCCATTTCACAACAAGAGGGTACTTATGAAGCTCTGTGAATGTAAGAAAACCTAATTTTCGCAATATTTTAGAAACATAATTTTTAGGTCTTTCAGTGGGTGTGGTTGGCAAACATGTTCTTTCTAACCCCTTCACATTATACAGCTGCTAATGACTTTCCTAGGTTTTCATTAATCTAGAGGGAAATCTTGACCTCATTAATTTCAGTAGGAGATCTGCAATTAATTGCAATGGGTTGAAAATTTCACATCCATTATAATTAGCAACTATCATGACTGTAAATGCTAAAGCAAAGCACTTCCAGAATTTTTACATGTAATTCTCCTGATCATAATTTACTAAAGTATCCTTTTTTGCAAGACTTTTTAAGGAGAAATTTCAAAGATATGTAAATGAGGTTTACAGTAATTTGATCTCCATTTTCTTTTCTCAGTTTCACCATGACCGAAGTTGTGAATAATAGCTGCTGGCATCATTCATGTGGCTGTGTGCTATGCTATGATAGAATTTCATTAGGAGTTTGACTTGTACCCATTACTTCCTCTCAATGCAGAGCCTACAGTATAACAAATAAGGCTGTATTTGTCATGTGTAAAATAGCACAAAATGCGGACATTTATTTACCTGACATAAGGGTTTCCAGGTGGCATATCAGAAGGAAGCATGATGTATGCTGTGAAATGCAATGTCCCAGCCACTGTAACTTCAAAAAAAGGATTTGGGGTCTCTAGGAAAAAGACTTTTGCTATGATCCAAAGAGGTGATACATGAACATGAGAAAGAACTGCATTCAAATCCGGAATGTGTCTCGCAGCTTTAGCTCAACAATTTCCACTGCATAAGTATTTCTTCAACTGAATCCTGACTTTTCCCCTTGGTAGTAGCATCTGTTCTCTTGGTTAGCAAAAAGTGGATTTCTGGCTGTTTTGTTTCTTCACGAGCATGCCTAATTTTGATAATTGTAAATCATGACATAGGTCATTGTACAAATCAGACTATTGAGTAAGAATCCCACGGCATCCCTTTCCTTTTCATTTTAAAATATTGTAGAAATACTGCTGTTACGTATCTCTAAGTAGTCTTGTGGGCCTTAAAGTAGTTTCAGACTTATGGTAAAACTATTAGAGTTTTCATTGAAGGATCTATC